TTTTTTTTCCTTTTGGACTCAACCCTTGAAATAAAGATATACCTGCAAGATTTCTATGTTCATTGCACTGATGCTGTGTGAAAGTGGACTTAATTTTACTTTCAAGAGATGATAGATATGAAGTTCAGCTCTTCCAAACAAAGCAGTTGTTCATAGTGACATATCTTCTGCATCTGTGATAGCAGATGCTTTTAAAAGCAACAGAAAGAGGGAGCAGTGGTGGGTGGAATTAGAAGCAAATGCTTATTCATATGCTGCCATGCGAAGCAGATCGGCCATGCTTCTGTCAGATATGCTTAAGAACAATCTAATCTTAGCTGGAATTGAAATATCTGGCACTGATGAATTGTCATTGATAGGAGTTGGATATTTTCTGAGTTTTTCAATGATGAAATGAAGCATAAAAACACAAAATCGTCAGGCTAGCATAGACCTTTCAAGAAAGCTTGGTATTCCTTATTTCTTTTTTTTTTTTCACTGGGTCAAATATAAGCAAAACCATGAAATTAGCTTTCTTTATTCTTGACAACCACTGATATTAGGCAGCTCTTTCAGAAATGGAATCAGGAAGATACTTAGTCCTTAGCTGAGCTGCTTGTAGCAAATGTACATGCATTTCTGTCCTAACCTATAGTGATTTCTAGAAAAAGATACCATCACTGTCATCGTTCCACATCAAAATCATTCCTCTTTCCTGTAAGCCTTGTATCCAGCCTAAATCCCTCTTTTTGCCATTCAAGACTCTTTTCTTTCATCTTGACCTTATGGAAAACAGCAGTTTCATAACTTAATAAGCATTCTTTCACTAAAATTGGAAGCTTATAAAATTACTTTTCCAATTTTTACAATGTAGATATAGATCTAGATCTAAATACAAATATATACAATTCAGACTTGGTCCACTTAGTCCATCATTCATTATCATCATATAATTATATATTTCCTTAATTCCATTTATTAGTATTTTGGATAATACTGACTCCTCCAACTTTTTTTTCTATGTCTTATCTTTGCCACCTCCAAACTTAGTATACATATTTTTATAGTTTTTAAGCTTTCCTCCTCATATTCATTTTATATATTTTTTCATTTATTTTAGTCTTTGACCACACTACATGGCATGTGGAATCTTCCCAAACCAAGGATCGAACCCATTGTCAGCATTGTCAGCTCAGAGTCTTAACCACTGAACTTCCAGAGAAATTTAGTCTTTTTTTTATCCATGGAATCCAAGTCCCTGATAATTGACTTTTCCTAAAATGTAATTTTCATTACGTTGCCATTTTGCTTAATGGAACTACATTGATTTCCGAATGTTTGTCCAACCAAGTTCAGTTTCTCAGACTAGAATTTAAAGCTGTGGTTCATCTCAGTAACTTTATCTTGCCAGCTTTTATCTTTTTATCTTTTACCACTTTCTAAATGGGTACCAATTATTTCAACTCAGAACGCCATGTTATTTGTGAACATGAGCAATAAATAAATGTTGATTTAAAAAAAAAAGAACTATCTCCACTTGAAAAGATGGATAAATCACTTTTTTAAAAATAGTAGTAGATTGTCTTATAGTCATTATAGATTTGGCACGAGGCATGCTATAAAATTGGAACAGTAATGACTGTCATGTCATAAAATTAAATTAGACTTCAACAATAGCTTAGTAGAGCTGCCCCATAGTAGGTGCTCAGTAAACTTAAAAAAAAAAAAAAAAAACTCTCTCCCTTCCTTCAGGAAAAAAAAAATTTGGCTTAATGCTGGAGGAATGATCGTGATAAGAATGACTCATGGAGAAAATAATTATAGTTCATGATGATGAGATTTTTCCTTTACTAAGAAAGGTCTGGCTGGATGAAAGAGGATGCGAGGGAGAAAAACCAACTCTGTCAAACCTCCAAAGATGGAATGTCCTTTGCATTCATGTCATGACTTACATCGTGGGCCTAAGACGTGCAGGTTTTTCTTACTGCAAAAAAGACCCCAGATTTCTCATCATTGTGTTTACTGCGGTGCTCCTCTATTCATTAAACATTTATTTAAAAAAAAAAGATAAGTTCTACCATCAGGAAGGAAGGAAGCAGCTGTTTAACCACATACACTGGAGTCATTGTGTATAGAGAAGAGGGTGACCTTCCTGTGCTGCTTTAAAAGTTGAGAGCTTTAGAAACTGATCTCAGCATTTATTCAGCATATATATGTATATTTTTTTTTCCTTTGTTGTTCAGTCACTCAGTTGTGTCCAACTCTTTTGCAACCCGGTGGTCCATAGCCCACCAGCCTCCTCTGTCCATGGGATTTTCAGGGCAAGAATGATGGAGTGGGTGGGTTGCCATCCTTTGGGATTACTAAATGCTGAGTATTCTTTGCATTGAAGCTACATGGGTAGTGAAAGGATTTTTTTTTTTACACTTTGTATTATGTATTTTGAAGGCAGCAGGTAACAGCTAAATATGAAAGATGCATCTGACCTCTTAGCAGGTAACTTCTAAAGTGAGTAAAGTGAATTCAAGATCTATGAATGAGTTGTCTCGTATAGAGTAAGAATAAAATTGCAAGCCCAATACGATATTCACTCCAAGTTACTGTATTCACTCTAGAGCAACTGAAATGTCTGAATAGCTTGCTGTTTCCTTCCATGTTTCAGTGTTTCAACAGGGATCCTTTTAGTCTTTTCAAAATACGAGGAGACAGAGTTGAGTGAGAACACAGTGATTGCTGGTGGTCTGAAAGGCACAGCTAGAATGGGTGTCAGATTCTTCTAGGCTGACCTCTTGAATGGGCTGCTCACAGGAGCCTAAATTACACGGGTCCTGTGAACTGCTTTAGTGCAATCTCGCGTATGTGTTTCCTCCCAAGGACCAGAGACAGAGCAGAGTGGATACACAGCTTAGGCATCTATGGATGTAGTGCGAGGCTGAGAGTGTAAGTGCCCGTCACAGAGCCAGCGATTCATTCAAAGACTCTGCTTTTGTCCTAAAACTCCGTTCAGATTTCACACTCCAGACCTGAACATACTCACATATGTTTTAATATGCGTTTTCCTTCTTATCTTTAAATACATATATATATCTCACCCAGGAAAACCTCCGTGGTTTTGTGAAGCCCCTGGCATATTATTGTAGACCCTGAGCACGATGAAGAAGGGCATAAGCCACGAGTGGGTTACTGAGGCTCTCGGGTACCCATGGCACCTCTTTACTGGCATCTTCCTGCGAGTTCCAGAAGTCGGCCAATGAGACATTCTCACCTCACTACTCAGCACCATGGACTTCACATGCGTAAAGCTTGTTCGGCATCGTGCCTTCCTCTTGTTCTCATTCTCGTGGTGAGTGGCACCTTCCAGGCGCCCCGATGCTCACGCCAGAAACTTGGGAGTCATCCCAGACTTCTCATTCTCCATCAGCCCCCACATCCCATCAGCCCCCAAGTCCTGTCACGTATGCCTCCATCCGCGGTTCTGTCTCTGGACTGACATTGCTTTAATGTAGCCCTTTCTCCTGCCTGCCTGGAATTGCTATTGCTGGGATCACTCAACTGGTCTGTCTGCCTCCCTGCCTACTCACCCACTCCGTGCCTAGCTTGTGGCTGCCATTATCTTATTCCTCAGTGTATCCAGTTCTTTAAGACTTTGACCTACTCCTGTGTTTTTCACACTGTGCCCATATCCCACAGATTCTCTTTGCCAGCTTCCCCATATTCCTATAATACTATAGCAACATATTCTTAAGATCGCCACACTAGACATTCTTCATATGCCTCTGGGCCTTTGCGTGTATATTCATTCCATTCTTAGAATGTCCTTCCTCCCTTCTTTTCTCCACAAGGTTAAGTACCACTCACCTTTGATTACAGTTGAATTATGGAACTTCTGAGAACTTTCTTGCCCTTTAACAAAATCCTAGTACTTTTTTCTGTCCTTTCTCATAGGAAACAACAAATTATGATGTATTATTAATTATTAGTAGTGATTTTGAATGAAAGAGAAATGGGTTAAGGTATTATCAGAAAACTTTATTTCTCCTTTAATATGTGATTTATGCAAGGTAGTATCTTTTTAATGGCATCCTAATTATCTCCATGAGAATATATCTCTGAAAATAAAATTTAAATCTACATAAAATATCTGACATGTGCATCATTTTCAGAGCAAAAGATGTCAAGAATAACATTGTCAGGAAGTGTCCCCTGGCCCTTGTCTTCATTATGTTAGATTAGCTGCACCTATTTGTGTTTATAAAGTTTCCAGCATCACCTACAGTATAGCACTTAATCCATGAGCTGTGATTGTTTCTTTTTATCCCCCACTGAGATAGCGGAGGTTAAATTTCATAGCAGAGGTTAAATTCTGTGCCTGTATCTCTAGTCCTTAATACGATGTCTGACACATAGTAGGTATTGAAGTATAGAATACGCATTTTGTCTAAATGAATCAAAACAGGAATGTGTTTCTAGGAGAGCTATTATTTGTTAATAGTCTTTATGGACAATACTGTGGACGTAGTGCTAGAGCGTACGTATGTATATATGTGCCCTGCGCACTAGGGCCTGCTGCTGCAGTGGGTGCAAAAGAAAGATCATGAAGCCCTTATTTGTGTTACTGGCAGTTACATGTTTGTGGGTAGAACATATACACACACACAGACACACACACACAGAGCTGAAAAATAATGGAAGACATATGTGAAAACTAACAAGAACGACATGAGCAACAAGTATATGATAGTAACTCATATGTACGTGTGCATATATATATGAACGAGATACTAAAAATACATGTTGATTCTCTGAAATGAGTTAGTTATCTAATAAGAAGAAAATTATTTAATTTAGTCAAAATTGATCAGTTCGGTCTTTTCACTTATGATTGCCCACTCCACCCATTCAACATGATCCAGGAACTTTCTCTTCTTAGTTCTTGTGCCAGTCCCTCTGAATTTTCTGTTGGTGTTAGTGAGACCTTATAGAATGACCACAATATGTCAGACTGTGAGCTTGGTACTTACCAAGGCACTATGTATTTTAATAACTTATCCTCTTTCTCTGCTCAGAAAGTCCTTCAAGGCTCAGCTTAATTATCTCCTCCTTCTTGAAGCATTTCTTGATTCCTAGGAGGCAGAATTAATCAGTTCCACTTCTACAGGCTTTCATAACTTTGCAGACATACAAACATCTCTTTCCATTAAACCAGGGATGGCAAGTAGACTCCATTCATTTATCTATTTAAATATATCTATTAAATATATAACTATTAACAAATTATTTAAAGATAACTAGATAATATTAATTGTTATCTATGTTATTACATGATAACATAGATATCTAATAAGCTGTTATTAGATAATAAACATCTACTGTGTGCCAGCCACTGATGCTAAATTAGTGAACCAAATAATTGATTCTTGCACTTGGGGAGGCAGACAATAACCAATAACCATAGTTAAAAAGTGCATTGTATAACACGGGAGAATGATATGTGCTATTAATCCAGGGAAATGTGGGGTAAATAAATGCTCTACCAAGTTTAAATAGATCAAAAGAGGCCCCATTGAGAAAGTGATATCTGAGGAAGACTTGACGAAGGAGAGAGAGTGAGTCTGTGAGGACGGCTTTCCAGGCAGAGGGAACAGTCAGTGCAAAGATCCGGAAGTGAGGAGTGTGTCTTTTTACCCCTGAGATTCTAATTGGTCTGGAATGGGACCTGGCCTTTCTTTTTTTTTTAAGTTTTCCCAAGTGATCCTACTATTTAGCCAAAGATCCTACTATTTAGCGGATGCATACATCTGCTATGCAGGATGTAGGGTAACATAAATCAACTCAAGTCTCAAAAAGCCTGTAGGTCATAGGGGATAGACACATGAGCATCTATACTTGACACTTCAATGTGAAAAGTGCTATAAGGGACTTGTGTACATGGTATTACAGAAGGACTTACTTCTCTTTATCCAGCCTGGGAGTCAGAGGTTAGCACAAAGCTTCCTGGAAGAGGCTGTCTGACTAAGTCTTGATATATAGGAGGTAACTAAGGAAAGAATGGTTGCAGTGAAAGTGGAGAGTGTGACTGTTCCTTATGGGGGGGTGTGCATATGAATTCTGTGTGTCAGAAGGAACTAACTCTAAGTGATTCAACATGGACAAATGGAGGTTTACAGGAGATGAAGCTAGAAACATGGAGAGAGCTGAGATCACAGAGAGGCTGGTATAGAACTCTGATTTTATACTGAGGGCAAGGGAACATTAATGGCATACACGAAGCCAGTCTAGAATTTGGTTAGCTCAAATGGCAAATCGCTTCAGTGCCAATGATAGGAAAAATTTTTGGAAAGGACCCCACTTAGGATAGGGCAGCAAATCAAAGCATGTATCCAAGAGAGAGCTGATGGTGGTCCTGATGGAGGGAAGTTTTGTGGAGATGGGGGAGATTTCAGAGACATATTAACATGGGCAGATTTATGATGAGTTGGCTGGGTGGATGCTGGTTGAGGGTGGAAAAGCAGCAAGGGAAAGAGTGAGACAGTGCCCAAGGTTTTGATTTGGGCAAGTGTGGAGATGGTGATGCCAGCCACCAGGATGGGAAACCCAGGAGCAAGAGTACATTTCAGGGAAGGAAGAGGCTTCCTGGCAAGAATGTGCCACAGTTGAGGTACCAAGAGCAGTGGGCATGATGTGATGACCAGCAGGCCAAAGGTGTAAAGTGTCCTGAGATTCCACATCTTTCACTATGGTTCCAGACATAGGAAAGCCTGTGCTCATTTAATTGTCTTCTAGATGGACACACAAGTATTAACATGTTCTGAAGATCATTGTAGACAATGTTCAAAGCTCAAGAAAAGATTTCAAGGAGCTGCTGTTGTTCACTCATTAAGTCCTGTCCAACTCTTTGCAATCCCATGGACTGCAGCACGCCAGGTTTCCCTGTCCTTCACCATCTCCCAGAGTTTGCTTACACTCATGTCCATTGAGTTGATGATGTCATCCAACCATCTCATCCTCTGTTACCCTCTTCTCCTCCTGTTCTCACTCTTTCCCAGAATCAGAGATTTTTCCAGTAATTTAGCTGTTCACATCAGGTGGCCAAAGTTTGGAGCTTCAGCTTCAGCATCAGTCCTTTCAATGAATATTCAGGGTTGATTTCCTTTAGGACTAACTGGTTTGGTCTCCTTGTTCGAGGGACTCTCAAGAGTCTTCTCCAGCACCACAGTTCAAAAGCATCAATTCTTTGGTGGTCAGCGTTTTTTATGGTCCCACTCTTACATCAGTACATGACTACTGGAAAAATCATAGCTTTGACTATACAGACCTTTGTTGGCAAAGTAATGTCTCTGCTTTTTAATATGCTATCTAGGTTTGTCTTAACTTTTCTTCCAAAGAGCTCGTGTCTTTTACTCTCATGACTGCAGTCACTGTCCTCAGTGATTTTGAAACTCAAGAAAATAAAACCTGCCACTGTTTCCAGTTTTTCCCCACCTATTTGTCATGAAGTGATGGGACCGGATGCCATGAATTTAATTTTTTGAATGTTGAGTTTTAAGCCACCTTTTTAACTCTCCTCTTTCACCTTCATCAAAAGACTCTTTAGTTCCTCTTCACTTTCTGCCGTTAGCGTGGTATCATCTGAATATCTGTGTTTGTTTATATTTCTCCTGGCAATCTTGATTCCAGCTTGTGCTTCATCCAGCCCAGCATTTTTCATGATACACTCTGCATACAAGTTAAATAAGAAGGAGCCATAACTTGGTTCCAATAATATATATATATATATAGGAACATAATATTGGAATATAATAATATATATAATACAGAAGTCTAATTGTCATCAGACTCTTAAGTAGTAAAATTCGGAACATATATAGATAAAGTCTGGTCCAAAAAGAAAGAGATGAAGCAGGCAAACACTGACAACAATATGTACATTTGACATTTCTGTTTAAGACATTTAATGTACTGATGTTTGATGTTTGGTTGTTGTTGTTGTTGTTGTTTTTTTTTTACTAAAGGGAAACATCAGCTTAGTGGAGTAATATGTGCCCCGTAACATTATTTCTAAGATATAAACTCCGCAGCAGTAAGCATGGAGTTATTTCTTTCCTGCTGGTGAGGAAGATCAGTTTTTGGAATGATACCTGCCTTTTCCTAAATCTCAGTCTCTGCATCACAGTGGAGCTTCCCTGGTGGCTCAGCTGGTAAAGAATCTACCTGTAAAGCGGGAGAAAACCTGGGTTCGATCCCTGGGTTGGGAAGATCCCCTGGAGAAGGGAAAGGCTACCCACTCCAGTATTCTAGCCTGGAGAAGTCCATGGATTATACAGTCCATGCGGTCGCAAAGAGTCGGACACGACTGAGCATCCTTCACTTTCACTTTCACTGCATCACAGTCAGGCCCCTTCATTCCATAAACTGCCCAGAGGGAGAGGGAGCACCCCATCACTGGAGAAAGCTGAGCTGAAAGACGGGCGACGCGGCACCTCTGTGCTCTCCGTCCTGAGAGAACCGACGTGCTGCCCGACTGGACCAGCGCCATCCCTCCCTGCTCCTCACTTCTGGTCTGTGAAACAGAGGAGGAGGTTGAATAGTCATGAAGCCCCTTCCCAGCATGTTCTGCGATTCTCCCGTCACAGCTCCCCTTCAGAAATCTTCAGAGTCCTTTTCAGTTGTTCGTAAGAAGCTTTGAGAGGGACCCAGAGCTTCCAGCCCGGAGCATGAAGAGGGGCCTTTATTGCAAAGCTCCAGCTTCACTCTGAGGAGATGCCTGGAGAAAGGGGCAGTGTTGTTAGAACATCCAGGCTCACGGGATCCTTTTCCCCCCTGCAGTCTCTGATGTTCCTTGGGTGTGGTAGAAGCTTAACATCTGCTTTTATGTTAAAGTTCCTTCTCCTGTTCCAACGGAACGTTTGCAGTTCCATTCTAGGTGCCTGTGGCATTTGGTTCTTTGCCAGGATGGCTTTATTTGAGGGAGAGACTGTCTTCAGTATATATGGTTCAAGATTAAATAACTTTTCTTCTCACTAGTATTTAAAGTGTAATCCCATTCAGATTTCCCAGCCTACCTTAATGTTACTGGTGCATCCTTTTCTGGGATCTCATTTGTTTCAGTAAACAGCAATATTGATTTTTATAGTGATTCCTAAAAATAAGTCACTTAGATCCTATCATCATAGTTGTTTTTTTTTTATATTGAAGCACCAGTTTTATTTATTGTTAATGATTTTCCTTAGATCAGTTCACTTTTTGATGTGTTTGGTACTATAAATGAAAACTGGCAAAGCTTGCTAATCAGTAGGTAACTATAAATAGGGTTTACATTTTAAAAATAACTAAAAGGAAAAAAAATAAATTACTTCTAAGATGATCTCAGTCCATTTGTGGACCGTTTACCACATATCAGGCAACATTGGCTTTTTGTCCCAGAGGGAAACATTACTTTGTCCTGTGAGTTTGCTTGCTGCAAATACAACTGTGAAAAACTTCTTACATGGAAGGTGGCCGGGGTGTTTCTTTCTTGCACACCCAGCAAGAAAATGCAGGAGCTTTTGAAGCTTATAGTGAGTTGCTGCTGGTGGTATGCTGAAGTCTGGCAGTCTGGACTGTGCTCAGCTGGGTAGGTTCTGCCGATCTCGGCCAGGATGGACTCATCTCACTTGGGGACCGGTGAGGCTGAAGGGTTTCAGCTGCAATGGATCGTCTCCATTCCATGGAGCCTCTTATCCTCCAGGAGGCCAGCTCAGGCTTGTCGATGGGGCTCTGGTGGCAAATGTCCCCAGAAGGAGGAACGTGAGACCTCTTGAGACCTGGGCACAAACTGCCACGCCATCACTTTTGTTGTATTCCACTGGCCAAAGCAAGTCATGAGCCAGCTCATTTTTCAAGGGGTAGAAATAGACTCCACCTCTTAATAGAAGGTACTAGAAAGACATGTGACTAATTTGGTAGCCGCATGTCACCTCTCCTGAAGCCTGGCAGGAGAAAAGTGTGCTGTTGGTTCATGAGTGGGGAAAGGCATTGAGAATGTACAGAAAGAAGGTTGTACGTGTGAGCTCTCGACACTGGTGAACAGGAGGGGACAGTGCTGTGCTGAGCCAGCAGGAGGAAGATGCCATAGAGACCAAGACTGATCTCTTCGTGAGGAATTCATTTAAGCCTAGACTCTGAATGAATCGAGATGTAAAGTTACATCTTTTTGAGTCTCAGAGTCTCTGATCTCTTGGCATCTCAGGTTCCTCCGTGTGAAATGAGAGTGGAATATGTTTACCTCATAGTGATGTAAATACAAGCTGAGAAGAAATGGGGGAAGCGCACATACATGGGAAGTATGCAGTAAGTCAAAGTCGTTGTTTTTAAACCTCGAATGTCCACGTGTCCATTTAGCCAGCTGAGATTTAATGTGTCTTCCATGCTTGTTTTCTGTTCCCTGAAATGATGAAAGAAAGTGAAAGTGAAATTGCTCAGTTGTGTCCAACTCTTTGCGACCCCATGGACTGTAGCCCACCAGGCTCCTCTGTCCATGGGATTTTCCAGGCAAGAATACTGGAGTGGGGTGCCATTGCCTTCTCCAGGGGATCTTCCCAACCCAGGGATCAAGCCTGGGTCTCCTGCATTGCAGACAGACACTTTACTGTCTGAACCACCACATGTTTGGAAACCTGGGCATTCCTTCCCCCACCCCACATAGCCACTACTCCTTCATTCATTCTGTGAATCTCTACAGTTAAGTGTAGCTGGAATTCTGAGGCGTTGTGCATCTGTATGTCACCTCTCCTGAAGCTTTGTGGGAGAAAAGTATGCTGTTGACTGGCGAGTGGGGAAAAGGCATTGAGTGTGTACAAATGAAGGATATACTTGTGAGCACTTGTGAGCACTTGTGAGCAGGAGGAGGGGAAAGTGCCAGGCTGAGCCACCAAGAGGAAGACACTAGACAGACCAAGACTGGCCTCCTCGCGAGCAATCCATTGGCGGAGTTCTTGGTATGTGTCCCTCTGAAATGGGTGTGAAACAGTCTTTGGTTTCTTCTGATTGCAAGCGGAGGGGGTGGGGGAGAAAAAGGAAAAGGAGAAGGACCAGACAGAGACAGAGATGATGAAGCAGAAAGAGGAGGAAGAGAAAGGAAAGAAGAATAAAGGAGTAAGGGGGGAAGGAGAGGGGTGGGGAGGAGGGGGAGGAGAAGAGCATCCAGAGTAAGCAACAGCCAGCCCAGCAGCGGGGCCCTTGCATCCATGACAAAGCAGGACTGCTCCTGCATTTCCACGTACTCTCCTTCGCAGTGTCGGTCTCTGTGGCCTGGAGAAACACAAAGTCGGGCTATTTTGAATGTTCATAAATGTGTGTGGCCTCATCTCACTATTAAATAGAAGTGCTAGCTGTTCCCTAATTTTAGCACATATCTCTTAAATGTCAAAAGACAGATTTTCCTCCAACCCCCCCTTTCCTAGTCCTCAAGCTTTGAGTCACGAGGATAACTTCACTCTATGAAGAAACTGGCAGAAGAGAATAAAATGCAGAGGAGAAAAATTTGACAAACTGATTTGAAACATTATTTCCAGTCTAGTATCTGGCCAAGGAGGCAACTAAAATACATTTTCTGAACTAAGTTGATACAGAGGAGGGGAAGGGAGAAGGAAAGATGTCCTCAGAGACAAAGGTCATGAAAATCAAGGAACTGTCTGCTACAAGATTCACGGATGACCCAGACTCTAGGAATTGCCCAGCAGTAGATTTTAGGTCTTTCATATCATTGAAAGGAAAGCAGATAATGGGATGGGGTACCTGTGTAATACTGCTATGTACTATTATATGACACCTACTGTGCGATAGACATTGAACTTTTAGAGATCCAGTGTTATCCTGTCTTTCAAGAATCTTACAATTTATGGAGGAGAGAGAAACAAAACAGCAAATAAATGATTACAATCATGGGAGATCAGATCTAAGCCAACAGTATGCACACTGTAAAAGTGAGTACAGATGAGGCAGCCAGCCCCAGAAAGGGAGTCAGGGGAACGTTCTTTTAGGAGATAACACCTTAGTTGTGTCATATGAAGTAAGTCATGTAAAGAAGTGAGCAGAGGGCTATGTAATCAGAGACAAGAGAGCATGAAACTGCAAGGTGACTGATGTGGGTGGTTGTCAGAAAATCATGTACATTGAAAGTACTTCATTCACTTCTCAGTCATTACTCATTTGAAGGTCGTCCTTCCATACAGACATCCACCTCCCCATCTAATCACTGCTCCCACCTCATCCACAACTGAGCTGAAACCACATGTCAACAGTGATGCTTAGCCTGGATTGGGCACCACTTCTGGTTGCCAGGACCCCAAAGGAGCAGGAGCTTAGTTAGAGTGGCGGCTTGTTTCCTCTCGTTGAACAGCCCAGGAATTCAGTGCAGGGTAAGTCACTACCGGGCCAGTGCCCCAGTCTTTTCCCCTCTCGCTGATCCTCAGGAGGCCTCCATCTGAAGTCAAAACGGCAAGACAAAGACACGCTGGGAAAGGGAGCACAAATACCCTGTCTTTAGGAATATTCCAGAAACTGCCACAAAGTACTTCTGCCTACATTCCATTGGTCCAAGTTTATCACATGGCCATATGTAGCTACAAGAAAGAATGTGAAATATTTTGTAAAAGAAATGAGTAACGAGTGTTATTCTGTAGCAGATGTGAAAAATAGGTAGAAATTCATGAAAGAGGAATCACTTTTATGTATAAGCAGTTTTTTAAAAACATTGCTCAACACATAAGACTTATTTTAAATCCTAACTAAGCAATATGGCCTCTTTCCTCAAGAAACCTTTCATAGCATACTGGAATGCTGAACAGTGTTAGGAAGCCCTGGAAGCCTAATTTCCTTACTTTCTAGGATTGTCTGAGCTCTCATATAAGAAATTTCTTCTTACCTCCTTATATTCAACTCAAATGTAAGGCTTTGTTATTATAGTGGAAGAGGAAACATATTGTGAGAGAATGCTGGTCATGGTCAGGTCAATTAATCTATTTGATACAATAGATCAGTTGGTTGGCCACTGGCGGCTATGGAATCCTGGAAATCAGGGCTTCAAACCTACAACAGATCAGCAACAGGTTTCACATCTAGGAGACACTTTTTCTTTTAACAGTATCAAGCACAGCATCTGACACACAGTAAGTGCATGATAAATTAAAGGTGTATTGAATTGAATTTATTTGCATACTCTAGCAATGAGGTTGGACACATGAAGACATCTATATTTTATCAACCATATGTTTACTCAGATTGATTGATTAACTCATTCAGTTAACATTTATTGAACTCTTAAAGTCTTGCCTGATGCTAATTGCTGGGGGAGTTAGAAAAATGATCAAGTTATAACCTATGCTTTTAAGGAGCTCATAATATAAGAAGAGCTTCCCAGGTGGCGCTAGTGGTAAAGAACCTGCCTGCCAATGCAGGAAACATAAGAGATATGGGTTTGGTCCCTGGGTCAGGAAGATCCCCTGAAGGAGGAAATGGCAACCACTCCAGTATTCTTACCTGGAGAATCCCACGGACAGAGTAGCCTGGTGGGCTATAGGGCTGCAAGGAGTTGGACACGACTGAAGTGACTTAAGACACAGTATAGCAAGAAGGCAGATGGATACACCACTAATTTTGATAGTTTGGTAAGTGCTACACAGCACCAGAGGAGATGCAAAGATGTGTTATTTCCGCCTGGTTGTTGGAGAAAGGCATTACAGAGGAGATAGTACTTGAACTCAGCCTTGAAAGGTGAGTAGTGACCCACCAAGGAGTCAGCAAACGTATGAAGAGTTCCTTTAATGTCACACTGTACCAAATACCTGTTCCAAATCCCGGGTGAGCAATGCAGCCTCTCTTCCCCAGGAGGCTGCGTTCCCTGCCATACTGGATAACTGCCCACTTACAGTACACTTTGCTGCTTCCTCTCTCACCACCTAGGGTAGGTTGACCCTTCATATATACCCAGGAAACCCCTGTGATTCCCAGGCGGCTCAGTGGTAGAGAATCTGCCTGCCAATGTAGGATCTGCAGGAGATGTGGGTTCGATCCCTGGGTCGGGAAGATCCCCTGGAGGAGGAAGTGGCAACCCACTCCAGTATTCTTGCCTGAAAAGTTCCGTGGACAGAGGAGCCTGGCGGGCTACAGTCTGTGGGGTCACAGAGTGTCACACACGACGGAGCCGCTATGCGCACACGTCCACGTTAGAGATGACAAAGAAATCCCGCATCGCCCTCTGGGTGTCAAAATCATAATCACTCATAAGCCGACTATTCATTCCTCTCCCTCACCCCTTTCGGCTTCGTCTTTTCTGTTCTGTTCCGTCACACGCACGCGTCCAAGTTAAACGCTACCATTTACACCCCATGGCCAGGCATTCACCTTGTCTCACTTTCCGAGGTGAGATCAGTCTTTCAGCTATAGTGAGCACGCCCCGGGAAGCGTGTCGCCGCTACTGTCTCCTCGCCAGCAAGAATTTTCTGTTTGTCATCACCGAGTCATTACGTGCTTCAGGCTTTGAGCAACATCTGAGTTTCCAGCAGCTGTGTTTTACATTGTCCCCATTCTGTATAATTAAGAAAAACAGGAAGCCAATCACTTAAGTAAAGCTGACCCTCTTCATGCTGCAGACCCAAGAAAGGATGGCATCGGGGCTTTTTATAGCACAGTTTTCACAAAAGTTATCCGAAAATCCGCTTGGAAGTGGAGCCAGGAGCTGCGGCCGCGTGGTGGCCTTGCTCTTGATGACAGACAGCTGCGCTCCTCTAAAACCCCGCGCTCCGGGTTAACACTCAGATGGTTGATTACCAACTCGGTCTGTCACATTGTGGCAGAGGGCTTCCCCTNAGCTTTCTTTATAGTCCAACTCTCACATCCATACGTGACTACTTGAAAAACTATAGCTTTGACTAGACGGACCTTTGTTGGCAAAGTAATATCTCTGCTTTTTAATATGCTGTCTAGGTTGGTCAGCAGTACTCAATTAGATTAAATATTAATGAGAAGGTCATTTTAGTCGATCCCTAGGTTGGGAAGATCCCCTGGAGAAGGGAATGGCAACCCACTCCAGTATGTTTGCCTAAAGAATTCCATGGACAGAGGAGCCTGGTGTACTATATAGTCCATGGGGTCACAAAGAATCAGATATGACTGAGCAACTAACACTTTCACCTTCATTAGTGATCAACTGTTAGTGATTAGTAATAGTTGTAATAGATAGTGAATAGCAATCAATATTAGTGATTAGTATGGAGGGTTGAAAGATACTTAAAATGTAGCCCCTACCTTGAAGGAGTTCATAGGCGCCTAGGGGAAGCAGACATCAGTACAACTGAATACAATTTGTAGCAATAGGTTACATGATCTGTGTCCTATTCTCATAGCACCTGTTTTGTGATCAGGCTCACCTCCTACCCACATAAATTGGAACTAGAGCATCAGTGCCTACCAAATGATCCTTCTCAACTGAAATTTGAATGTGAGTAATACCCATTCATTCATTCAGCAGATACGTGTTGAGCGCACAGTGTGCTCCAGGCATTGTGCTGAATTTTTCAGGGCTGGAAATCTTTCTTCAGTAGCATTCATCATGCTTTGTGTGACGCAGAGAGCTAGCTCACATGTGTTAGACACTGCTATATTCTAGTCACTTTATTTATCCAGTAAACGCTATGAGGTGGGAATTTTTCTCCCCATGAACAAATGGCAACTGTTCATGAAATTAACCTCCCCAGTGCTGTGCAGCAAGTAGCCAGTAGACAATGTATACCAGATTCCTATAGCCATGCTGATTCCCCCTTCTGCTGCTTTGACAGCCCATGCTTCAGCTAATGGAGACATTGTATTGATATTTTTAAGTGCATGCTAGTGACCGAGAGAGGCCTAAGTTTTATATGTCAGAGACTTCTTTTGGAAACAGTGTTAACACCTGTGTGTATGTCCTTTTAATTTCATCCAACAAAGATGAAAACATTTTAGCTTTGCTTTGGAGTTTAGAATAAAATGCGTTAAACATACATCAATAATGTGACAGGAAGGACTGATACCAGGAAGAACTTCAAATGTGGTTAGACACAGAAATGGTAACGGTGACGTCAGAGAAGTTGGAGAATCTGTCTCTAGAGGTCTTTAAAATTAGAATACAATTTTTATGTCTTTTTTAATGTCTCACAAAATCATATGGAATAGCTTGCGAGGCCACTTCAACTTACAGATTCATCACAGCAGGTTGCACTGGGATCCGGTCACTAAATAGGACTGAAACTGCAAACATAGCCGGAGAACAGGAATGACTTACAGGTTTAATAAGTACAGTTCAGGTAGCGGCCCCCAGGTGGCAGTAGTCATACACTCGAATCTCTGCTGTTTAAAAAATCATTGAAACAGGGATGAGGGACTTTAGATACTCTTTAGTCCAAACCATTTGACAATTATGAAAATTCGAGACCTATAACTATGATTCAACATAGTTCTGTGAGAAGTACTTTTTATTAAAGAAAAATCTATATAAATATTAAACACGTTATATGTAGAATAGCAAAGCAATGGAGGTGCTATTTATTTGAAGTTAGAGGCATTTCAAATGTTTTGAGTTGTATTACTCTTCTTTCCAACCAGCCCTTTTTCAGTCTCACCAAATTAAGGAAGAGTAAAGTACTACCCTCTTGGGAAAGGTTCTTTTAGGAGACAGAAGTCTTCCTTTAGGTACATTTGCTGTGTCCCCAATGACTGCATGGCCAGTACCCTGGGGTCTACTCTGATCCAAATTGCTACAGCTCTGTGCTAGCAAGGATTTAGCCAGCCTCTTGCCCACTGTTTTCAGCAGTTTTTCTTTTATGACAGGCAATTTATTCCTATCAACATACCCAAGTGTTGATTAAATCCCTCAAAATATTACAGAGAAAGAGAACTTTGCAGCTAGCTCTTATTATCACATCAGTTAGGGTCCCTTACAATAGTTCTTTCTGGAAAAGACCCTGATGCTGGGAAAGGTTGGCAGGAGGAGAAGGGGCGACAGAGGACGGATGGTTAGATGGGCATCCCTGACTCAATGGATGTAAGCTGAGCAAACTCCAGGAGATGGTGAAGGACAGGGAAGCCTGGTGCTGCAGTCCACAGGGTTGCAAAGAGTCAGATGCGACTTAGCGACTGAACAACAGTAGTTCTAACTGAAACAAAATAGCCATGCTTTCTTGTGGTTGAATTGACTGTAATCTGACTCCCTTCTCTTCCTTTAAAGCCAACACAACAGAAAGCAAGGGAGTGGGATTTGCTGTTACAGCCTCTGAAATCTGCTCTCCCTTTTCTCAAGTACATGATTTGCAATCAGAATACCTGCAGCGCTTCTCGCACGTGAAGATGACACCTCAAAAACTCCCCAGCACAACAGAGCACCGCTGTTCTAGCCTAGTTCCCAAATACATTTTGGATGAGAGATCTGTCTGCCAGACAAAGAAAAGTCCTTTTGCTAAAGACACATGTCTACTCAGAGGCAGAGATGGGACACCAAGGGCTAAGAATATGGTAGTCACACTGTGTTCATTTAGGTGCTTTACAGAAACTTTCTGCGGCAAAGCGCTCTGGAGCTGCAAGAAGTTGCAAGGACAAAGCTGATTTTAGGGTCTGCTTTTGAACTGCTTTTACAAGGACGGCATCCAAACCCCATCTGCCAGCTTTGCCCCCGTGTTCTGTGCTGGGACTCATTTTGACCCTTCCACGGAGCTCCCAGTGCTGCCGCTCACAGCAAAAATTCCAGAAAATCCAGCTCTGGGGATTGCTGTCAAAAGGTCATCCAGTCTTTTCTCCTCACTAATTATCTTAGAAAAAGCCCTCAAAAAATGTTGGGCTTTTAAAAAATGTATCAGCATTGATATTAAATATAAAGAAAATCACAGTAGCTTTATGCATAGTGTTCTTTGCATATATGGACATGTGGGTGTGAATTCACTCCCTCATCTGCTCCCCGTCATGTTTGGAGACAGCCCACTGTTAGAGGCTGGGAATTCCACAGTTGTCAGTAGAGTCTTCCTTCATTCACTCACTCAATGTGTATTTATTCAGAGACCATTATAGATCAGTCACTATGCTAGAAACAAGGAATGTGGCCTGATAGGGAATGGATTTTTTTTTTTATAGAAATGTTACCCAAGATAAACCTATTTATATGGAATTGAATTGTGCTTTAAAAAAAGTTGGACTTGTTTCTTCTAAGAAATGAGGTTTAAAGATTTTCGCATCCTTATAATATGTACAAGGTGCAGAGACTATGCTCATTGCTTGGAGGAATATCAAGAAACTTAAGACAAGAGCACTGTTAGAATTGATTTAGTTGTAAGGCGGGATGCATACATCTCTGAGATTCTCACTTGGATAAATGATGCAAGCAATTCCAAAATACTCTACTTTGATCTCAGGCTAGCTTGATAAGCATTGAGTGATAGAACGCTTTCAGAGGAAGCAAACGCAGAAGGCTTCACAATAGACAGTGGGAACCTGAACTGGGCTGGACTGTCCCTCCGAAACAAGTGAGTTCTCTGGATGCAGAGAAGGAAGTAGGGAGCAATGTTTCTTTTCTTTCTTTCTTTTTTTTCTTTAATCTTCCATTTAATGGTGCTGTAGAGCTTAGTGTTCCGCAGAGCACAGACAGTAAGAAGAACTCCGGTGAGTAGGAGACAGGGCACCTGGGTGTGGTACTTGTTCAGCCTGTGAACATCGTCGGGCCTGAGCAGGTCATGGAGGCAGGAGGCTGAACCAAAGGACGTGTCAGAACCCCTTCCAGCTTTAGGGTTGCTGATGCTATTAGACTTTGCTTGATATTGTACAAGTGTACTTTTTCAAAGCACATTTTTTGCCCCTTACACTTAGCATAAGTCAAGATTGCCAAACAAGCCGGAGGCTACATTATCTAAGTGTATTCTCTTTGGTTGAAACCTAGTTGCTATTTTCTCTGACACTTAAACGGTGTTCATGAACACAGGAAATAAAGAAATTGTCCATCTTAAATCCTCAAATGAATATGTATTGTGTACCGGGTGCAAGTATCCATTCTAGATACTTATCAATGAACACTTTGCCTTTCAAAATGCTATCTGTAGCTTCCAGTATGTGTGGTGGGCTTGTTGTAGAGTATAAGAGCACATTTTATTTCAGTTGACAAAGATTCAATAAATATTTATTGAGTACCTATAAATATCAAGTATTGAGCTTATAAGATGCAAGAGATAAAAATAATTAATTCAGTTAAAACTTAGTCTCATTCATCAAGATTATAGCCCAGTAGGGGAGTCAGACATATAAATAGACCAATTACATTTCAATATATGGGAGTTTAAGCCATGAGTATTGAAAAGCACAGAAGAGAAAACACTGGTTTCCTGGATAGAAGGCTTTACAGACAAGGAAACATTTAAACATGAAACATTTAACATTTAAACATTATATATTTAAAAACTCTACTCAATATTTTGTGATAACCTGTAGGAGAAAAGAATCTTACAGAGAATGGATATGCATATATATATATATATATATATATATCTGTGTCACTTTGCTGTACTTATGAAACTAACACAACATTTTAAATTAACTATACACCAATACAAATTTAAAATATATAAGTAAACTGAGTTTTAAAAATGAGTTGGCAAAATGGCAGCCCTCAGACTGTAGCCAGCTTGTTGCTGAGATGCGTTTTGCAGCATCTGGCATCGTGCAGTCCACAGGACAAGAGTCTCATCAGTGACAGGAGGTTATCTGGTTCTTACACAGTAGTTGTGAAATAAGAAATAATGCAAAGTACTTAGCATAGTGCCAAGAACAGCACAGGTGATCAGTAAAGCGTACCTATCATTTGTATTATCATTCAGACCTGTTGAACCATATGCATTACTAGTTACGGGTGCACACTCCAAATGTTCAGTATACTTTATTGTGGCTATATTTAAGTGGTCATCAATGCATTAAGTTTCTGTCTTCCCTACTCCATGTAATCTCCACGAGGACAGGGGATAAATCTGTTTTGTTAATTTATATTCCTCATATCTGGGAATAGATGACAGACTGCTTAGCTCAATAGAAATGCTTAATAAATATTTGTTAAAATAAGATGTGATGATCGAAAGACACTAGTAAGAAATCGTTAGGAAGATGTAACATCAAGTCATATAAAAATGTGAGTACTCTGACTCCAAAATATCAACTTCTAATTACTTTCACAGCCAGGGAAGGCACCCACAACTCTTAGAGGAGTAGGTTCTCAAGTTCAGCGTGGCCTTCACTTTCTTCTCTCAACCCTCCATTACGCTCATCCTTAAATTGGTCTCAAAGGGAGCAGTCCTTGGATGGCCAGGGAAAATAATGTGATTTCTCTGGTTCTTTGTCCACAAAACTGTAGATGTTATTCATTTTAAGTCCTTAAAATTTCTAAAGAAGACCCTTCTCCTCCTTCAACCCATCTGTCTTGTCTCTTGGAAAGTTTTTTAGAGGAGCCCGTTCAGATCCTCTGAGGTTTCATTACTTTCCAAAGCCATGATGGAGCATTATTCTGAATAAAATTAAGTTCTACATCTTCCAATTAACAGCAGATGATGGAAGTGCCTGCCAGTTCTGTTGCCTTTCAGCTGGGTGTTTTTCTCTTGCTTGGTCATTTGTAAAATGTGAGCCCTCTTAATGGGGACCTAGTTATTCACTTGAATTAATGAGTTTCAGCTGAATTAATAGTGCCTGGCATACTGTGGGTATTCAATAATAGTCAACAGCAATTTATATGCTGACTTGCTCCATTTGAGAATGCTGGCTAAAATCAATGTACTGTGGCTTTCCTACTAGATTTGACTTAAGGAAAAAAGATCAAGTTTTCAAATGTGTGGCCCAGGCTATATACAATCTTTAGCAGCTGTCTTCTTTAAAGAATCTAAAAAATATATATGCAAAAACTTTTGGGATGAAGTTCTTTCTGTGTATTCCCAACAAGTAGATAAGATCCTCAAGCATATGATAGAAATATCATAGATAGAAATTTGCTACTTAGATTCTTCCTCCTAGAAGAATACCTGGCACAGAATAGGCCTTTATCAAAATAGTAGCTAAAAATAAATAGGAGCGTGTCACAATGTTTGAGCACAGTCCATTTCTTTGTACTCAGTAGGGGTTCCATAACTATTAATATAATTAATTTTAAATTAAAATTGAATAAAAATTCTGGAATAAGTTAATACAGAGAGGAAACCTGCTAGGTTTAAACCCACAAAGATCAAAGGCAAAAAAAATTACTGATGAGGAAGGAGTTTATATTCCCAGGATTAAGGAGATGGAGTCAGGTTTGAATTCCAGTATGCATATGGTGGCTAGTGCCTTATGGCACATGTATGCATGTTGAAGCTTTTAATTAGAAGGAATTACAGTTCCACTGAGATTCTTGTAACTCTGGACTGAGAACCTTAAAAAAACAGTATCATGTGTTTGTTACATTGTAACCTTTGTGGAAAATCAGAAATATAGTTTGCGGAGGAAAAACATTTGATGTGTCAACTGATTTATGGAAACTTCTCATGTCAATGGCTAAATTCAGTAATTTAACCACATTTACTAAGTGAATTAATTTACTAATCAATATTTAATACTGATTTACATGTACACTCATTGCCTGGCTCTCTGTTTCCTGAGCTATACCATCTCCCCACGTCCTCTTGACTTAGATCCTCATGGGCAGAAGCAGCTTCTTGTTCACAAACCACTCAGTGTGTGTTTACTTTTAAATCAGTTTAATAGAATTAAATAATAGAAGTTCTAAAAGTATAAGCACTGTGTTAAGTACTATACAATTGATGGAAAGTATAAATTACTCAAAATTACAATACCCACCTTCATTCAATATTCCTTTCTTCCTTTCTTCCTTCATTCAGCAAGCTAGTCAACATTCATTGAAATCCATCAGCTGGGCAGCCAGAATGCAAGGCCCTAGAACAGAGTTAAAGAAAAACCTATCGGGTCTTCCTATTGGTAACTAGCAAACATTTGGGGAGGGGGAGACAAAAATATCATAAGAAAACATGCCAGCTCTAATAGCCATATATAGAAAAATATTTTAGGGCATTTGGAGGAGTGGTGGATCACTGCTGGGTGAGACCCAGACCTCTCCAGAGTTGCCCCTGAGAACTGTGTTTGATTTTTCTGTTGAGTAGGTGGGAAATAGCAGATTATTCACTCATCAGCCGCCCATGCCATGGAAGCAGAAAGAGAGTGGTATACACCTCTTGGAGGAATTGGGTGTAGCTGGATCATGTCCTGAGGCCGGAATGTGCAGAGAGCGGGAGAAATAGCAAGGTTTCTGATCACTCCTTTATAGAAGAAAGTGGTAAATACAAAGATATTACAGTGTGTAAGAATCATGTGTATTACATCCATAAAGAATCTACTAAGGAAAGAATTCTTGCTTTATAAACTTTGTGAGTCACGTTCACTTAGATCTCAGCTTTGTGCTTTAAATTTGAAGATGCTTAGCTTGCCACCTTGTGGCCGAAGGAAGCTCCTGCACATTGATCTNAACTATTTTTTAATGCCTGTTAAAATTAAATTAATTTTTTTAAACATGTTCAAGTTTATCACACATATTTGAGATAAAAGCAAAACCAGAAAAGCCATGTAGGGCAGATATTAATTGTTACAAAAGTCAAAAATCTGAGAATGATTCTTGACTCCTTTCTCTCTTTCACCTTTCACATATAAGGCCTCCTTAAGCTCTATTGATTCATTTTCCAAATAGATCTGATAGCTGTCTTTGTTAGAAGTGCTTTTATTGATAATTTCAGGCTTTATTGAGAACACCGAGTAATTAAAGCTGCAACATATTGCTGGCAGGGTGCAATTTTTTTTTTCTGTATTCTGATGAGAGATAAAACCATTTTGGTGCAATTTGGTTGTTTACGAAAGTTGAAGATTCAGATACTCTGTGGTCCAAAAATTCTACTCTTATTTGTATGCTCTAATGATGTTCTTATATGTGTACCAAGAAACATATACAAGACTATTATAGCCACATTGTCATAATAGTGTTATTATTCCAGAAAGGAAAAAATAAAAGTAGTGTGAATGTCCTTTAGCAAAAAAAAAAAAAAAAAATGGTATGTGTTATATCATACAATGTCATACTGTACAAAATTTAAAAGAAATGAACTAGACCTGTACACATCGACATGAATGGATTCCACAATACTGCAGAGAAAGAGCTACAGTGTGCAACTGCTTATTTAAAGTTTCAAAAAAGACAAAACTACACATTTTTTAGGGCTTCTATATCAGTCAAGGTCCTACCACAGAAACAAAACCAGTCTCTGTGTGTTGTGTGTGTGTGTGTTAAAGGAAATTTTTAAAGGAACTAGCTTGTGTGATTGTGGGGGCTGACAAGTCTAAAATCCATAGAGGAGCCCAACAGGCTGGAAACTCTTTAACAGTCCTCTAATGAGATTTCCTCTTCTCAGAAATCTTTTTTTTTTCTGAATTATTGAACTATTAGGTTTTATTTTATTTTTTTTCCATTTATTTTTATTAGTTGGAGGCTAATTACTTTACAATTTTGTAGTGGTTTTTGCCATACATTGACATGAATCAGCCATGGATTTACATGTATTCCCCATCCCGATCC